TTGGCCTGCCAAACTGAAAGGTCTTTTATTTTCAAAGATCCAGTTTCAAAACAAGTGCCTTTATAAGAGTTACTCCTGTACCTAGAGGCAGCTTTGATGGGTCACCAGGGGGAATTCAGCAGGCCAGGCTGTTTCCTTGTGAAGCTTTCCAAAATGCTCTGCCCAAAGTGTCACCGCACTGCTAATGCTGCTATTACTGTAAAGAACAGGTTATAAACCTCCTCTCGAAGCTTTTTGACCTTGATGAAGACAAACTTCATGGGGATTATGTCAAAACATGAACTTAAAGAACCTGTGAAACTCTGTGCAGGCTCCCCAGCTTAGGTATGGCTGAGTGAAGAAAATAAATGGCGAGGGCGAGGGAATTATCTTTATCTGGAACAAAGCGAGAGGCAAAATGAGAATGTTGAGGAATTTCACGGACATGAGCAGCAGTGAATAGCTGTCCTCAGAGGCCATTTCGTGCTCATCATCCTCGGAGCTGGCGGCACCTGAAGGGAGAGGCGATGTCAGCTCCGAGGCTCGGCTGTGAGACAAATACCACCAGACAAATCGCTGTCACGGTGCAGGAATGAAAAAAAAAAAAAAAAAAAAAACCACCAAATCTTGTATAAAATCCTCTGTGTGTGTGTGTCAGGAGGAGGTTTCAGAGGCACAGACACGGAAATAAAGAGCTGTAGGAGAGATTGAATCGACAACCTGCTGAGTGCAGCGCTGAGGGGTTTAAACCCCTCGGCTCCGGGCTAGGGAGGTGTGAGGGGACAGCTGAGATTGCCCAGCTGAGCTGGAAACCCTCCCAAATCTCATCTCCAGCAGCAATTCATCTCCTCCTGGTCATTACGAGCATCTCAACGTGAAAGGTTTCAGTGCCTGAAGGAAAACATTTGACCTTAGAGCTGCTTTTGTGCGCTCCGCGCTCGCCGTCTGTCTGTCCCCGGGGCCGGGCAGGCCCTTCCCGCCCCATCCCGCTGCCGCCGCTTCCTTGGCTGTGTTTGTGTTCCCTGCCGGGCCCTGCTGGCGAAACAGCAACACCCTGGCGTGCCTGGGCTTCCTGCAAACTTCCACTGACCTGGGCAGCCAGACATCCAGTCTGAGAGCCATGCAAGGGCCTTTCCCTCGGCTCCGAGCTGCGGCTGCAGCTGATAAGTCCCCACTGTGCTTCAGCTCTTGTCTTTCTTCACGTGTAACGAGCTTTGCAGCCCGCGGTAAATCATTCTTTTTAATTATCCCCTGGGAATTGCTGGGTGTTTCTTTCTGGGTGAGATTCATAGGGCACTTCACCTTCCCAGCTCGGGAGGAACAGATGTGCCAAACTACAGGGAAATACTCTGCTTTCATAAAGGGTTTCTTTGCTGAGGAATTTCCCCTCGGAGTTCAGTGCCGGTGACCGTGGTGAGGACAACACCTGCATTTCCCATGCCACAGCTCTCCAGATTGCAATGCTTGAGTGCAATTGATTTACACCACCTGGAACTGGAGATCTTCCTCCAGGCTGAGGTTATCATTTTTAAAGAAAAGTGACCCTGTCCCTTTTGTTTCAAGAAGTTCTGTCTCTGAGAGACTTTTTTACAAGGAGTTAACTGATTGCTGGTGGACTGGAGGTGGTGAGCGTGGTTGTAAAGCTGGCAGTGACACTCCTGATGTTCCAGCATATCATTTTTCCACGCCACTGTCAGTCTGAACTACTGAGAGGTTTCGGTTTTTTGTCTGCTCAAACCATAACAAAGGTATCAGCTGGCAGTTGATTAGCTCAGAATTTATCCTTTGCCATTCTGTTAAGCCCCAAAGCCGAGCCACTTCATATTTGCTTATCTGCTAAGTGAGCAGCCCAGCTGCCTGGAAAGTGCTGGAAAGCCTCTCCTTCCCAATGGCATTGCCTTGCTCTTGCTTAGGAGGGGGTTTGGAGCAGCTGGAGCAGGACACACAAGGTTTGAGCTCTTCTCCATGTCCTGGGGCTCTTTAGTGCTTGATGACTGAGATACCTGAGGCTGTCCCATTCCTGGAAGTGTCCAAGGCCAGGCTGGATGGAGCTTGGAGCAAGCTGGGATGGTGGGAGATGTCTCTGCCCATGGAACTGGATGAGCTTTAAGGTTCCAACCCAAACCATTCTGGGATTCTGTGACATTGTTTTTTCCTTCTGCACAGAGTCCCACAGTTAGGGAGGGAAACAAAGCCACCCTGGTCTCGGGGACAGCCCCAGGTGCTTGACCTTCTCCAGCTGCCTGGCCCTGTCACTGTCCCCTGATGGCCAAAGTGCAGCCCTCACCTCCTGCATGGGCTCCCATGTCAGAGCTGGAGCAGGGCAGCCCCACAAGCTGCTGCCACAGCAGAACCCCACTCCAGGAGCTGAAATCACAGAATATTCCAGGTCAGAAGGGACACCCAAGGATCATGGAGTCCTCTTAAGTGAATGGCCAAACAGGACTCAAAACCACAACCTTGGCTTGATTAGCACCCTGCTCTGACCAACTGGGCCAATCCCAGTGGTTCCCACAGGTATCCATCCACAGGTATCCCCCCAACCTGTTGAGGAGCTCTGATATTGCAGATGGAAACAGAGAAGGAAAAGCCCTTTCATAAGCAGAGAACTCTCCAGGCTTGGGTATAAACTGGATAAAGCAATGGGATAACACAAGTCACTGAGATAACACAAATCACTGAGATGACAAATCACAGCCATCTGCTCTAGGACACCTCACTGGCTTAGCAAAGAGGAGAACCCAAAAAATAAAAATCCTTTTCCTCTTTTTATTTTTTTAAAGACAGTCAGATTGATGCCCAGGAGACCCAGCACCCACATTGATTAACAATCGCCACAGCTGAAGCCATCCTTTCCTTTTCCCAATCTTTATCACCCAGAAACTGCCTCTTGCTGCTGCTAAGTGCATGGTGATTTTAAGATACCATCAAGATTTCAAAAACTGATGGTAGAAAGCCAGATTTATCTAGTTTGGCTTCCAATTCAGATTGTAGCTTATCTGGGATAGTTGATCTGCAGCCCCTGGTTGGACATGTGGCAATTCAGGAGCAAGCTGCTATTAAAAGTCAGTTAGGACTGAAATGCAGCTTCTGTCACATGCCCTGCAAATCCCTGCTTCCCTTCCCATCAGTAACACCATACCTGTCCTGTTGTCAGCTGGAAAAAGGTAGATTAATGTTAGGTCCCTTGTGAATTGGAAGATTTGGTAGAGATGAGTCTTGGAGTTTTGGAAAGATGGTGGAGAATGGGTTAAATAATTATATTTTTTCCTGAACAAAAAAGTATAATTATTTTTTGAATTATTTTTGAGACATTTTATTCTGTTTTGACTAAGATGCATCAATCATTTCACAGTTCAATATCTTCCTGCCTTTTAGGATTATTTCATATTTGCTTAGCTGCCTTCTTTTGATTTATGTTACTTCTTAAACAAACTGTGCTATTCTGAAATTCTTTCTAAAAATACTGGCAGAAATAATTTTAAATTCAGTGCTTCCACCTTTTCAGTCAAAATTTGATCCTGAATTGTGGACAGTTTGGTATCAGGAAGCTAATTTTTCCCCCAGCAAATTTCCTCTTGGCCCATATCATTATCCTATACCCTTTTCCATCCATTGTATACCTTTGTCCATCCCCTGTGACGTGGCACATTCCTTGACCTTCCTTTTCTCCACAGGACAAGAAATAATTGTGATTACATTTCCCCTGACACCTTTTTGCACTTTGTTGCCAGTAGACAAAAATCTACTTTCTCTGCTTTTTCCTATCACAAATAACCCAATGATCTCCTTTTAATTATCCAGTGTCTTCTTTTAAGTAGAATAAAAATATTGTCACATTTGATACCTCCCAGTGTGGCTCAACTGGAGAGCAAGACTGCAGAGGGATTAAGCTGCAGGGATAAACACTAAACACATTTTCATAATGTGACTCAACAGGAGAATTTTGCATTTTTGGGAAAGTGCACGAGTCACTGGAATGAGAATAAATATTTCCTATTTATTTTGGGGCTTGGACCAAACTACAAAGTTATAGTTCAAAGATCAGGTTTCTCAGCTCCAGGCTTGATTAGAACCAGGGCCTGCCTGACCAGAAAGTTCAGATGTGTATCTGAAACTTCCTAAATGTGGGGAGATTAGAGATCTAATGTTTTAATTCTAATTAATCTCTCTCACATAACGTTTCCTGCAATGCCCTTACGCCAAAGCGCAGCCAGAATAAACCAGTGGCGTGGAAGAAAAGCTGGCGTAAAAAACCAGCACTAGAAATTAGAGAAATCAGCCAGATTTTGGGTCTTTGTCTGCCTGGGTCCAGTGTTCATGCTCAGTCCCTTGTCCCAGGCGCTCACAGAAATCCCACATCTCTGGTCCTTGCACAGTGCCTTTGTAAAACACCATCACCACCTCACACATGGCCTGTCACACACACAGCTCCAACCAACACTTGCTCTCCTCCTGATGAAGCCCATGGTTCCTTTTGTCTGCCAAGGACAAAATTCCCAGTTCTCAGGGCTAAAATGAACCTCCAAACCCCACAAAAGGCAGCATGGCCACTCTGCTGTGTCCATCCCTGCCTTGGTGTGGTTGGGAGTGAAACTAGGGTGGGTTGTGGAGCAAAGGAGCTCCAGCTCTGCACTGAGCTGATTCTCTGAGGGTTAATTCCAGCTGACAACCCTGGGGTATTTCCATGACATTCCTTATTAAAGGTTGACATCAGTCAAGAAATGCATGTTGATATCCCCAGGTGAAGGACAGGGGGACTCCCAAAGCCCAGAAGTATCCTGAGCTGGTAATCCATGCAGTTTTCATGTGTCTGCACAGAAATGTGCCACTCTGGGCAATTTCTGGATGAACATGGGGCTAAATGCAATGGTCATTGGCTCTGTCCCCTGTGTGACAGTGGCAGGGTGTCACTGCATGTCCTGACCCCAAGGGAGCCTTTCTGGGCAGCTCAGTGCTCACACTGCCGTGCCCTTCCAGTGACTGAGCAGTTTTCCCAATCCATGTTCTCTTCCCTGCAGACTACAGGAATCCATTTGTGGAGATGCACCCAGAACACCCTGACATCATCTACATCACGGATGATAAGAGAATAGTGGTGATCCCCTGCCGGGTCACCTCCCCAGACATCAAACCCAAGCTCATCCAGGTAAGAGGTGCCTTCAGAAAAGCTCAGTTCAAGGTCTAGGCTACCAAGAAAGTGGTAAAAACCAAAAATTTAAGGGTATCAATCTGGGTAAATTCCATAAATAATAGCAAAGACCCTGAAAATCCACAAACGTGAACCTTTTCTTGCAGTGTGTTACTGCTGAACTGGGTAAAAGGATTTTTTGGGGATTAGGCTGAGTTTAGCATTTTTCTTTTTGTTATGTTGAGGCTTGGTGTTCCTCCATAAATTGGCAGAGGTAGATGACAAAGCACTGTTTTCCTTCAAAATTCTTTGCATAACACCTGGCTCTCTCTGAAAGGTTCTCTCTTTATACCTTGAACCTCCTTAGAACAATTGCCCATTTTTGCTTCATTTCATCAATTCAAACCAAGTTTCAGCCTTGGGAATAGATGGCTCCAGCATCCATCCCTTTGGCAGCAGTTACACCTGAATGTCAAGGTCACAGCACAGTCTGTGCAGGCCAAGGCTGTTTGGGATAATAAAAATGGAAATTTAAGGTCTGGGCCCTGATCAGTCGATAGAGTCACTCATTTAAAGGGTTTCAGAACTGCACTCCAGAGTAGCCTGTCATGGAGTGAGGAACAGGACAGAAGTCTCCTGGCTCCAATCCTGCATTTTACGTCAGGAATTCTGTGCCCTTCCCTTCCCCTGCCAGTCTGCCAGCTCAGGAAATCCTGAAGGGAACAGGAGCTCATCCTGTGCCCCTTTTCCAGCCTGTTCTGGAGGGACTGCGAGGGATGAGGCTGTTCTGGACATGGCACAGAGGGTCTAAGCATCTCTGCTCCTCGTGGCAGTTCCATGCCTCAGATGTCCCCTTCTCCTGGGAGGCAGCACATGGAATCACAGGGGACTGGGACAGGACTCCAGCTCCTGCTGGGACCCATGCCACGTTCCCAGGAGAGGTGCAGAGGGACAGCAGGAGCCTTATTGCTTTGGAGATCTCTAATTTTAAATTTCATCAGCAGGGATTAAAAAAGTGGGGAAAGAGGCTCCTCTCCAGTTATCATATTAGGCTGGATAAGTGCTACCACCTTCCTCCTTGGCTATAAGAATGAAACATCCCCCTCTGATTTGAGCCTGCTTCACCAAATTCATGGCTGGAACAGAGCTGCAGACCCTGGCAGCATCAGGCTGACCTTGGAATTCCCATTTCCACATTTATTATTGATGGGCAGACCTGTTTTTCCTGCTTCCCAGCTAAATTTCAGTCATTTCTCCAAACACAAACTGCAGCCTGGCTGCTGGAATGAAACCTCCACTGAAATCTCTCCCACAAAAAGCTGTCCCCAGAAGATTTCCCCTCCAAGGCTGAGCAGCTGGGGCTCAGGGCAGGGAGGCAGAGGTTGGGCACAGCTCCCAAAGGAGCTGCTGGGATGTGGCACCTCGGGAAGCTCTGGGATCCAGCTGTGGATGGCACTGCTGGCTTGGCCCTGGTTGGGAATCCCACTGATGCCTTTAGTGCCTACCTAGAACAGAGGCTAGACAAGACTAAGAGAATAAAGTGGATATTTATTAAAGGTCTTCAGTATGTTCACCTTGAGCAGTGCAGAAACCACCAAGGACACACCCAGGATGGACGATGGTCACAAGTTTTTCAGACAATTATAAATTTGGTCCATTTACGTACCAGAGGTTAATCCTCCAATTCCAGCTTCAGGCAGTGAAGTCATATTCCCCCAGTCTGCTCCCTCCAAATCACTTTTCTTGATACTTTTCAGGGCCTGAGGCAGTAGAGTGTCCTTGACTCTCAGGCCTAGAGGAACTGTTTTGTCTGACCAAAATGTGAAGACGGTAACTAACACTCTGGATGGAGTTTGGAGTTAGACACTGATGCAGGGCAGGGTTTGAAGAACACAAAAGCTGGAATCCTTCGGCAGCCCCACAGCGCCGGGGTGGCGGCTCCGCGCCAGGAGGAAGCGGGGCAGGACAGGGGCGGAGGTGAGCAAGGGGGAGGAGAGGCGAGCCAGCCCACCAGACAAATTTAGAACATCCTCTCCTTCCAAATTTAATCTCCAGGAGACAACTGGACAGGGAGGACAACACTTCAAAGGGAGGAAGGCCACTGTGATTTCCTTCGAGCAGCAATGACGCTCTTTTGTTTGATTGTTTAAATTGGTATTTGTGAATATTTTATGAAGATGTTTAATCTGTGTGTGGTGTGGAAAAGGGCCTCCTGAGTAGGGTTATTTTTCCTTCTCCCTTCCTCCAGGCATTGGGGAGCAGAGCTGCCAAACCCTGAAGTTCAGCTTTATCACGTTTTATTATTCTTGTGGAAAATGGACTTCTTGCCACTGTAAATTAAGTTCCTTATGTTACCATTATACTTTAAAATCACTGTACTCTCTTTAAACATGCTCAGAGAAAGGTACCTCCTGCTTATACTAAGCAGATCCCAGCTATCTCAATATATCATCTTTGTTATTAACAAACTCATGCTTAAGACACACAGCTCAGGCTTTTAATTTTGCTTAATGTGATTTTAATTTGGGGCAAAAAGAGTTTTTTCAGTCATGTCAAATCTGTTTAGTCACTGATCTGGTTCAGTGTGCATTTGCCACTTCCAGCTTTGACCTTCACGAGTGCTAAAGCATGATTATGCCTCAGGTTTCAGATCTCTTTCTGTAATTTTTCCTATTTTTCCTCATGGTTCTAAACAGAGATGCCACAGCTTGATTATTTCAAAAGCATTTACAAGAGATCCTTGTTCCCTACTGCTGTCAGAACAAATGCTGCTCCAAAAGACAGCGACTGTCTGGCTGTCCCCCCTTCCAATGCAGCATCACCAGTTCCTCAGCCAGAATTCCTCTGGGTTTGGTCCATGCTGGAATTGTAACAATTGACCCAAACCAAGGCCAGCCTGGTCACTTGTGTGTCAGAGCCCCAAGCTGCAAGCTGTGTGAACAGGAGGATTGTTTAAACTGAATCCAATTTAAGCTGCCCTGCCAAACCAGAGTCCTGACTGCTGGGAGACAAACAGGAGCTGCCCACAACAGGAACAGGAGCAAAACTGTTCCATCAGGGGTGAAATTCCTGCTTTCAGTGCCTTGGTTAGCTCCCAGAGCTGAAGCAGGGTCTCTCTGAAAAGGAGAACCTCCCCTTGCCTCACCTTTCAGCAGCCAGGATATGAGGAGGAGGAGGGAGAAGCAAATAAAGTTAATTACCATGAGGTAACTGCAGGCACACTGAGGTTTGCCCAAACTTTTCATTTTTGGGGCAGAAGTGATCTCAACTCTCCAAAGAGCATCCTCAGTCCTAAAGAGCCTCCCTGTGTCCTGCTGGGAGAGCTAGAGCTACCTGTGCTTCCATTCCCCCACCTGCCAACCCCTGAACCTCCCCAGGCATTTCAGAGAGCTCTTTTAATTTCACATAGTTCTTTTGCACATTATAATCCAGGATTTTCAAAATTTTTGGAAAGTAAATTACATTCCCTCTAGCAAATAGAGGATTTCCCTGTGTGTTAATAATAACAATAAACTGATTATTCCCCCCAACAAAAGCCAAGCTGCTCAACACTGGTATTGTCCAAGGGTAGACAGAGGAGGGTTCATTCTCATTAAATTAGTTTTTGCTCTAATTTATTTTCCATATTTGCCTTTCTATTCTCACTTCTTCCTCATAAGCAGAATTGAGAGGTTTTTTTTCAAGAATCTCACAACATTACAAGTATTTATTAATTTAGACCCAAGAGTGCTTTAGTCCCTTTATTTCTGTGATTTACACTCCTAAGTCACCCAGGCTGCTTCTGTGGCAATCCTTGGGGTGCTCTGAGAGTGTCTCCCCCCATTCTGTGGGACAGAGAGAATCTGGGGAGTGCTCACAGACCAGAGCTCATAGATAACCACAGTCAGGTGAGTTAGTGAACAATTCTGATTTTGGGGGAGTCTAACTTCACACATGTTTTAAAGTACAGTGAGGAAATGTGTGGTAGCTCCATGTGGCACTGGGAGGAAACACCTGTGAAAAGATCACCCCACAAAATTCTTAGAAGATGGGCATAAGGATTTCCAAAGAAGGGATGAGGGAAATGAGTCCCACACATGAGATCTGAGACACTGTATTGTCCAAGGGTAGACAGAGGAGGGTTCATTCTCATGAAATTAATTTTTGCTCCAGTTTGTTTTCCACCTTCGCCTTTTCTATTCTCACTTCTTCCTCATAAGCAGAATTGAGAGGATTTTTTCAAGAATTTCACAACATTACAAGTATTTATGAATTTAGACCCCAAAGTGCTTTAGTTCTTTTATTTCTGTGATTTACACTCCTAAGTCACCCAGGCTGCTTCCATGGCAATCCTTGGGGTGCTCTGAGAGTGTCTCCCCCCATTCTGTGGGACAGAGAGAATCTGGGGAGTGCCCACAGGCCAGAGCTCATAGATAACCACAGTCAGGTGAGTTAGTGAACAATTCTGATTTTGGGAGAGTGAGTGAATAGTGAGTTAGTGAACACTAATTCTGGTGAGTTAGTGAACAATTCTGATTTAGGGGGAGTGAGTGAATTAGTGAGTTAGTGAACAATTCTGATTTAGGGAGAATCTAACTTCACACATGTTTTTAAAGTACAATGAGGAAAATGTGTGGTAGCTTCATGTGGCACTGGGAGGAAACACCTGCAAAAAGATCACTCCACAAAATTCACATAAAATGGGCATAATGATTTCCAAAGAAGGGATGAGGGAAATGACTCCCAAACATGAGATCTGAGACACTGGGACTCCTGAAGTGGCTGCCCACGTGCTGAGTTTCAGAGAACTCCTGCCTTAGGAAGGGCTTTCCTCTTTGCTGCTGCAGATCTGTGTGGACATAGACCCCAAAGCCCTGGGCAAGGTCAAAGCCCTGCCCTGCCCCTAAGGCAGAGCAATCCGAGGGGAACAGGATTCTCACTCTGTGTCTGTTCCCTTGCAGTACCCTTCTTCTGCAGAGATCAACTTCAAGAAGATGGTGTGGGACCCCAAGAGAGGCTTTGTCATCCCCTCCCACTCCTTTGTGCCCTCTGGGATCCTCACGTGCTCGGCCCACGTCAATGGCAGCGTCTTCAACTCCTACTACATGGCCCAGAGACTGGGTGAGTGCCTCAGTGTCCCTGGCACCTCCTGGGTGTCACTCCTTGCTCAGCCTCAGCTCTGTCTGAGACATCTCCCTGGGCTGCATCTGTGGCAAGTCCAAACTGGAATGCTAAAAGTAAACTCCTTCTTCCTTTTTTTCTCCCTATTCAATAGAACTTGGATTGGAGCCACTCCTGGTTTTGAAAAATGACCAAGTGCTGAGGTGGTACAAAACAGGAGTGTTTTATTCAAACCCCACCAAGGCTTTGTTTGCTTGGATTGAGCTGTATTTACATTAAAACAACTGCTGGTTCAGGACAAAGCAAACAGCAAGCAGCTTTCTTTTTGCTTCTGGTCATTAACCACGTGTGATCATCGTATAAAAACCTCACTACACTGCTAATTCACATCTTTGCTTTTTATAGATTTTCTCTTGGTGATTTACTACACCATTTCCCTTGGATTTACAGCTGAGCTTCGTCTCATAATTAAAATCTGAATTTGAAGCAACTAAACATTAAATTTTTGAGTGCTGGGCATTTATATGAAACCAATTAGAATTTATTTTCCTTTTGTTTTCCATGTATGTTCTTTATCTCCTCATATATCTTCTATTTACTCGGACTTCATTCCCACTAGCTTATGGCATCTTTCTACACAGTCAGCACTCAGCTTTGAACAACAGCCTTGTAAATTTGTGTGGCAGCCAAATAAAAGTCCTGTAAATCTCTCTCTTTCTCCTTTTTATTCCTTGTTGGAGTAATTTTTTATTAAAATAATGAATACAAACCTACAAAATCTCTTAGGCCATCCCTCTGCAGCTCAAAAGGACCCAGGAAATCCCTTTCTGTCATGTTACTGTCAGTGCCCAGGTGTGGCTTTGGTTTTAGCACCAAAAACTGATGGAAGCTCAGAGCTGATGTATTTAAGGCATTGACAAAGGTGTAAGAGCAAGACTTGGGGATCCTGTTGGGCGATTTGGGGACCCCATTCAAGGATTTGGGAATCTCATTCAGGAAGAAAAGGGAGCTGGGCAGGAGAGGGCAGGGGTAGCAGGTCTCATGTCCAGCAAAAGAGGATCCTCTCATTTTGAGGAGTCACTTTTGGAAACTCTTTTTTGTGGAGCTGATGAGAGGGTTGGAGCCATGGCACATGGCAGGGCAGCCATTCCTGACTGTGTCCATGTGAGCAGGGATCCAGTGGGGGATCCCTGACTGATGCAGGGAGTGTTGCTGCTCACAGCTTTGCCTCTCCCATTGCAGAGGGCAGAATACAGAACCTGGCTCTGAAGGCAAGTGCCAGAAAGCTGCTGGTTGGAGAAACTCTCAAGCTGGAGTGCAAAGCAGAGACCTTCATCAACGGGCGCATCGAGTTCATCTGGACGTGTCCCCGTGGCACAGTGAGTGCATGGAGTCCCTGCATTCCCCCTCCTCCCAAAATTCACAGGCATGAGAAAACCTCATTATTACTTCTTCTGAAATTATCCAACCATTTATAAGCCTATCATTGATTGAACTTTGTGTTTGGATGAATCTAAAACTTCTCAGCCCGACTTGAACCTGCAGATTAAACTGCAAACCTCACTAAATAAACCCTGGCAAGAAAAGCCAGGCATGTTTCCTTCTTTTTGGGAAGAAAAACTCCTTCATTCCTTCTGTCCTGGCTGTCTCACAGTGACAAGTCTCAAATGCAGGTTGTAAGCTGTCAATCTCCTCATCTATTTTGGTATTTATGAAGTAGGAAAAAGCAAAGGAAAACACAGCTGAACCTGTGGAAATCATCCCCAAAGAATGAAATGTAAATTCTGAGTCATGAGCTTTCTGTGGATACAATACAAAAGTGCCAAATTTGAAGTAGAAATAAGTAAGAGAATTAACATTTGAGGTACCAAACCCTCTCACTTCTTCTAAAAAAACAAAATAGAGGGGGATCATTTCCCAGATCAGTTCATTTGTCTGAGATTTTATTCTTGGGTCTGTTTGGTGCCAAGAATTAAAATAATTGGGGTTTTTTTCTTTTTAGTTCAGCAAAATATGCATTGTAAAGAAACATCTAAGCCTTTTGGGAAGGTGTAAAATATGATTCCTAAAAACTGATTAATTTTGATTTGTTTCCTTAAAAAAAAAAAATAATGTCTGAGTTTGTTTTGGTGAGGAAACTACAGAAAATATAACAGAATTTATAGAGGTCCAGGCACTACAGTGTTACTGAATGAATTTGGTTTCTTGAACCCCATATGGTGGAAAAGATTAGTTTTCCAATGAACTCTCCTTATATTTCTAACATTATAAATGTAAAACTTCTTGGCCAAATCTATGGGATCAAAAATCCTATCGAAAGCGATAATGCTTTCTAAAATTCCCCAGGAATTTGCATTGGCACTTGGCTATCATAATATATTGTATTTCTGTCATAATATATTTATTTTAGAAAGCAGGAGGTTTTTAATACAGAAAAAATACTGACTGTGACCAACATAAATTTAAAAACCCTCAAAACCAAACCCTCAGAGCACAGCTCTGACCCTGCAGCAGTTTTACCCTGAGATCCTGGGATTCAGTCCTGGAGAAGGGCTGGGATGCATCCCCTTGTTTACCTGCCCAGAACTGAGCACAAAGTGCCACCTTTCCACTCTGCTTCTCTCTCTTATTAGACTTGATAATGAAACTTCACACAAGAGCTCTTCCTGCTGATCTGCCTTTTATATTATTTATTTCAGTGATGGGGAGATGTGATGGTTTTGATACAAATCACTGCTTTCCTTTACTGGCAGCCTTGGAAAGGGCGAGCACAATCATCCAGTTTACTCTGCTTTCTGACCCTGTTTTTTGTGTCTCCCAGCACCCCCACCCCAGGAGAACAATGGACCAGAGTGATGTGGTGTACAAAGCTGGCAGCAGCCTGGTAATTGAAAATGTCACCATGGAAGATGGGGGCCTGTACATCTGCAGGACATTCAATGCCACCAGGCTGGAGGCCAATGTCACTGTCACCGTGTATGGTGAGTGCTGCAGCCAAACCAGGATGGACCAGGAACCAGCAGTGCTCAGCTTAGAGGACAATGCCAGGCTCTAAAATCTGTTGATTGAAATGGCACTAGGGATAAAGTCAACCTTAATCATCTAAAACCTCTAATTAGTCAATGAGAGTCAGCTCCCATGTCTTCAAACAAACTCAAGAGGTACATTTAGATGGGATATTGGGAAGGAATCCCTCCCTGGGAGGGTGGAGAGGCCCTGGCACAGTGCTCAGAGCAGCTGTGGCTGCCCCTGGATCCCTGGCAGTGTCCCAGGCCGGGTTGGAGCAGCCTGGGACAATGGGAGGTGTCCCTGCCATGGCAGGGATGGCACTGGATGGGCTTTAAGGTCCCTCCCAGTCCAAACCATTCTGGGATTCTGTAATGTCTGGGGAGCTGAACTGCTTGAAAGACCTGGCACCAAGCAGGGTTGCTGAGACCCTGGAAAATCCCTCCTGTGGGCTCCACCTGGACAAGAGATGCCCCAGGGGCAATGCAAGGGCATATCCTCTGCTTTCCATGTGAATTCCTCCATGTGGGAACAGCCCTTCCTGGCTGAGGCTGGGCTGCAAGGGGAGCTGAGGGAACAGCCTGGTCCATTTGGTTGTGTGCAGGTCTGTATTGGAAAAAATCCCAGGTGGGAACAGAGCAATCCCAGGTGTGAGCTCTGTGCTGTGCCAGAGCTGCCATTCCAAGTCTCCCTGCTCATTTCTCTCCCCAGAAAAACCCTACATCACGGTCTCACACAAGAAAGGGCCTTACTACGAGATCACCTCAGGACACAAGTCCCTCAAGCTGGCTGCCAAGGTGGATGCCTTTCCTCGGCCCACTGTCACCTGGTGAGTGCCCCAGCAACAGCAGGAACACCTGGGCTCCTTTAGGAATCCTGTCTGGAACAGATCACCACCATTCCTCACTCACCACACAGGTCAGAGATGGGCTCAGAGCTGTGGGCTGAGCTCAGCTGAGGAGCTGTGGCTCCACTCTGGGCTCCTGAGCTCTGGGAGGCTGGGCCATCATTCCCAGGTATTATTGTCACTGCTTTAATTGAAGGGATGGGACCACAGTTGGGTTAAGAACAATTTATTGCTCAGATAAACATCAGTCTCAAAGGCCATGAGATTTAAAAGAGCACACAGTCAGCCATGGCTCAAAGTAGTCACAAGTTCTTCATTACAAGACAATATAGAACTTTCTGATCCAATGGACAGTTGTCACAAAGTTAATTTTGCTTTTCTAACCTATCACCTTTACTCACTTCTGCTGCACTGCAGATACTTTTATCCAGTGGGCTCCTATCCCACATGCACACATATGCTTCTATTATAACATCTGAACCCTCAGCTTACTCTGTACAATTCCACCCTTACACTATAAACCCTTCACCATCTTACCCAATACTTAGCAATTCCTACTTACTTAAGGCATCTTCTTACTTAAAACTATAAAAACATAAGTTTATTATTTTACTGCTTAACGTCGTGTACATTGTTTTTACATCCATCCAAGCTTCTTCCAAGGCTGCAGATCAAACCCCTCAGTGTCTCTGGAAGTTTCTATCTTTCCCTTTCTCACACCCAGGCTGTGTTCTTCTCCTTGCCCTCCAAGGAAAAAAGTGTGTTTCACTTTCTCTGGGCACAGAATGATTTGGGAGATCCAAGGAGAAAGGTCTCAGGGAAGGGTTTCCTGCTTACCCCCAGCAGTGGTGGTCAGTCTGAAAGGGGCAGGGGATAACAGCAAAAGGACATATTTTTAACATAAGAAATTGTTTCTCTCTAGAACATTTAAATAATGTCCTCCAATCCTGTGCTGACAGATCCTTGTAGTGAATCGTCCTCTAAATGCTCCACCAGGAGTGCAATGGATCTGCTAAACAGGAGGGGCAACCAACAGCAGCTCCAGGAGATATTCAAGTCTCTCTTTACCCTTTCATGACTTGTCCTCTCTCCTGCTCTGTATTTAACGACCCCATCCAGTGCCTTTTCCATCTTTAACTGCATTAAATCCCATGAGACAGCTGGCAGGGGCGTGCCTGTCCTGGCAGAGAAGATGGCATTTCCCTGGAGCACCTGCCCTCAGCCAGCTGAGAGCCTGGCAGGCAACAAAAGGATGCTCAGGGCTGGCCTTGCTGCATTTTATTAGCAGTGAAATAACATGAAATCCTCTAATTTTAGTGGAAGCAGTGCCAGGAGGTGTTTTTAATTGCTGCTGTTATTTAGGGATGGGGATGTTTTGGGAGCTGAAGTGGGGAGCGACCCCCTCTCCCTGCCAAGCCTTTGTTCCTGGACTCACTGTGGGGCTCTTTGGTGGCTGCCTGGGACCACCAGAGCTGCCTTCCCCTGGAGCCCCAGCTGTTGATGTTGGAGGTCTCTCAGGATGGTTGTTTTTATGACTGCAGAGGAAGTTTCCAGCATCCTCAGGCAGTGGGAGATGCCCCAGCATCCTTCCACCAGCCCCAAAGCTCCATGTGTGGCAAAGCCTGGCCTGTTTCCTAACCATAACCCCACGTGTGAGGGGAGCAGTGGAGAGGGGCCTCTCCTGCAGATGCTGCTCTCCTGCCCTGAGGGAATATTCCAGGCTGGGAATTCCTCACTGACCTCCCTATGGACCAACCTTCTCCAGGTCACAGAGTTTAACTTTTTCAGAAGCAGTAAAGGCTCACAGAGACATCCTGAGAGACAATTCTGCTGAATTCATCTCTTCCTTTAAAACTGGTGACACACATTTTGCTATTCCATGATTTCCCACACTTGCTGTTGCCCATTCAGCTTCATTTGGGGGCATTTAGACCATAGTTGAGCATGTGAGAGGCACTGTTCATTCAGATAAAATCAAACACCTTTTTTCTGTGTGGAATGAATCTATCCCACAGCACTGGAGATGAGAATCAGTTCTGGTGTGGAAGGGTAACAGGAATAAATATCCAATCCAAGCAGTGATTCTAGACCTGCATTTCCCTTGCTGGGATGACCCTTTAGCCCTTAATGGGTGGGTGACAGGGTTTCTGAGGGTTCACAGGGACATGACAAGCCTTGATGGAACTTCCCACACAGGTACAAGGATGGCAAACTGATCAAGGACAACCACACCTGCTATGAGCCAGATCCACTGAAATACAGACTGGGAATACGAGATGTGAGACCAAAACATGCTGGGAACTACACCATGGTCCTGAGCAACCCCAAATATGGCCTCTACAAGAACCTCACCATGCAGCTGGTGGTTACAGGTAAGGACTCGTTGTGTATAATTCCTTCTGCTGGGTTAGTTATCCTGTTTTGTGTGATCCTACTGTGCCAGTCTGCAGGAATGGGTGGGAGTTCCCAGGGTTTAGCACTGCCCAGAGATCACCACCCCCCTCAGGAGCCACTGAACCCCTCATTTCAGCTGCTCTGAGGAGCTGGTGTGACTCTGGCTCATGCAAGTCCCTTCCCCTGGGACACTGCACCTCCCACAGCACTGAGTGCTGGGACAGTGGCTCCACACAGGGAGGTGGAAATGCCTGAAAGGCCACAAACATCACATTATTATAGGAGCTTGGGAGGATATTGAGTAGAGAGGTCTTAGAACTGGGGGCAGAGTTTCCCAAGAGAAAGGCTGGAAGTTTTATCCCTTGAGATTTCAAAGCAGCTTGGGCAAAGCACTGGAGAACATCTGCTGGGACAGGAAGGGTCCCAGTGGGGCTGACGGAAGGAACTGGAGGAGCTGCCCTGGCTTTCATGTCTGTCCATCATCCTGCTCCAGATCTATTTTCTAAATCTGCATTTTCTGTTCTGCCACTTCTCTGCTGGCAGCATTTGAGGGACAGGTTCTTTTTCAGGGGAATTTGGAGAAAACTGTGCACTGAAGCAGGTTCACTTGCCATAGAGGGAAAATAGATACTGGAACACTATTTATTAGCCTTCCTGGGTGGATAATGCAGGGCAGAGCCACATTGTCTCTTTGCACATCCCCTGCCTCTTTTAATCCATTGAATTTGGCAACAGAGATTGAATTCTGAGGCCAAGTAGGAGTTCAACAAAAGTTAGCTCTGCTTTTCTTTTATATTTTCCACTTGGGCAGTGAGTAGTTACTGAAACAGGTTTGCTCTCTTTTCTGGAGTGAATTCTTCTCTCCTTCCCCTCTTTACACCTAAAACTATTCTCCATTGTCCAATTTTTACATACTTATGTATTGTTGCTTCCAGCAGTTGTGTTTTTCTCATTTCACCTTTCAGAAAGGAATAATGTCTAAAAATAGAGAACTTGTCACTTAGGTACATCTGACCTATTAAAATGTTAAATAAGATATGATAGCTTAAAAACCTGAAGTAAGACATAAGTTAATGTGTGATTGAGGAGAGGAGGGAGCCAAGAACATGCTCATGGTCAGGTCCTGCAGCTCAGCTGAGCAGGAGGAACGTGTTAAGCTGCATAATTTGTCCACTTGAGATTGTTTTTGCACACAATGGTTTTGCCTCTTCAGAGAACAGAAACGTTGAAAGGAAGAGAAATGAAGAATGATAATAAACTATCTTGTCAAGGTAAATATTGGTGTTTGCGTGCACAAGGGAGCGTTTCCTCGAGGAGCTGCCGTTCCCCAAACAGGCAACCAAAAACAAACAGAGCCTTTTTCTGTCAGCAAGAGGCTATTTCAGGATCAAACCACTCCTGCACAAGCTTTTCATGTCCATGGTTTGTCCAAGCTTGGGGCATCCCACCCCTCACACAGTGCTGCTCATCCTCAGCCTTTCCAGGGATCAGCCCAGCAAGGCCTTCATCAGCCATAACTATTTAATTGCAACCCCCCCATTTCTCAAAGTCCAGCAGCTGCAGGGATGTCCCCAACTGTCCCGTGGTGATGCACAGGGAAACCACAGAGCAAGTGTCCCTTTTCTGGTGACAGGAAGTCAGGGAATGAGAGCAGAACAAGGAAAAACCTGCCCAGGGTGCCATGGGTGAAAACTGAGGCTGCAGACAGGAAGGGTTTGCTTGGCTGCAGCAGGACTGGCACCCAGCACCCTGGGAATTCTGCCATCCCTGCAGCACCCAGGGAATCCTGGCATCCCTGCAGCACCCAGGGAATTCTGCCATCCCTGCAGCACCCAGGGAATCCTGGCATCCCTGCAGCACCCAGGGAATTCTGCCATCCCTGCCAGGCTTTTCCCTGCAGCACCAGGAATTTCTCTCATCCCTGCAGCACCCAGGGAATCCTGGCATCCCTGCAGCACCCTGGGAATCCTGCCATTCCTGCCAGGCTCTTCCCTGCAGCACCCAGGGAATTCTGCCATCCCTGCAGCACCAGGGAATCCTGGCATCCCTGCCAGGCTCTTCCCTGCAGCACCAGCCTGATGTGCTCTGTGTGAAGCCCTCAGCCCAGGAGAGACTGATTTTACTGAGATTCATGTGGTAGAGCCCAAAAAGGACAAAATGGGCTCTTGAAGCTGCTCCAAACTGCCCTTTCTCTTGTGTTTCCCATCAGAGGGCAGGGACAGCTTTTTCAGGAGCTGCTTTTTCAGATCTGGGATTTCCTTTCAAGTACACTCTGAAGCTCCAAACTGAAAGCAGATTGGAATTTTTCCCTTAACTCTCCACAAATAACCTGGCACTTTATCTCCAGCCATCATGACTGATACCTGGGTATCACACCTGAATAGATTAAATTGCTTGGAGTTTCAGCAGGCTCTGAGGCAAGAGAAGGAGACCAAAACACACTTTGTAGCCCCCTTCTGCAGGGATTATCTGAAAGAAACCACCTCTGAGCTGGAGGTGTGATTAATGTCTCTGCTCAGAACCAGAGGCAGCCTGCAATTACTGAAGCTGGGATTTGAACACAGGGATTAGTGGAACTGATGGAAAAATCCTCTTGGGCTTCAAGTGGACACAGTGGGTGGAGTGTCAGTTTTGCATGGCGTCTAAAAGGTGGAGCCTGCACCTGATAAACCTCCTGCTGAGTAATGACCATGTACCCTGAGAGTGAAGAGCAATTTCTGTTTGAATAACAGCATTGCTCCCCAAATCCAGGGCCAGCCTTTCACTTCAGAGGTGAATCTAAGAAAGGGAGTGAGTTCTGGTCCACCCTGTTGAAGAGAAGAGGGAAAATTACGTAAGCAGACTTTGGAATGAGGAGAGAAATGCCATTTGCATGGTTTCTGTTGCTGCAAGGGACACTGCAGTGCAGAAATGGTCAGTAATCACACAGCCCCCTCTCCTGAGAGTCTCTTCACAACAATCCATCGTTGGTGTGCCCCAGGTACTCAGCTGGCACTTAGCGTGCTGTGACAAAGCCATCAGCTGCATTTTTGGGCTGGGTGCAGAGGAAGTTTGAAGTTAAAATTGTTGTGAATTGTTTTGCACAAACAAAGTATAAACAGCAGCAGGGCTCGACCCTCAGATTGCTCTGTCTGAATTTTGGCAGTGTGTTTTATCCACTAATAATGGGAGCAGAGGAGAACCCTTTAAGCAGGATGAGAACAGGATCAGAAGAGCCCTGCCTGGGCCCTGTGGGCAGAGTCTCTCCTGAGACACTGCTGCAGCTTTCCTTGGAGTCACCTCCTGGGTGTTTAACTGGGAGAAATCCCAGAGTTCTGCCCCACTGTAGGCACAGGGAGTTTCTCTCCACAGGAATGAGTCAAACATTAGGAGATATTTCCCAAAGCTTGATTTGGTGACAAAACTGAGGAGTACCTGCAGAGGGATCAAGTGGGGAGGGAGCAAAATGGGCAAATAACTCCAGAGCTGCAGGGTGGGAACTGAGAGAAAAAAGGTCCAGCAAGGAACTGCCTGGCCTGGAGGAGAATCGTGCAGCTATTCCAAAAATGCCTCTGTGAGAAGTGGCTTAGCTGTGCCTCTGGTCACCCCTGCTCCCACTGCAGCTGGAATTTATTCTTGCAGGAGCACATATCTCCATGTGGAGTCACCTTGGCTCCTTGTAGGACTCAGGTCCCCAGGAGGTAGCTGATTGCATTTTCTAAACACTCCTTCTTTACATATTTACACATCAAACACTGTCCAAGAGCGGCGTGTTGCTGTGGTTTTGTTTTGTTTGATTAAATTCTTACTGAGAAAAGCTTTGAGAAAATAATGTCCTGAAGAATTTGGAAGGGAGGGAGCAAGGAGAAGGAACAATCCTAGCAAACAGCTGGTGGCTGAAAATCTGAGCCAGCCAAGGAGGAGAGATGTGGGAGAAAAGAGTTATTCCAGGCTGGAGTGCAAAGCAGCCTCAGAACAAAACATAAACAACGCCCTCAAATCTATTTCTGGGCAAGCAGACTGTGTTTCATCCTCAGCCTTGTCCAACTCCTCTGTGTCCTTCAGGGCTCCTGCTGAGCCCTTTTGGAGCAGCCAGCGGGCTCTGGCCACCACCTGGGGAGTGAGGAGAGAACTGAAGCACGAGTTCATTCAAAAGTGGGATGAATAAGCTCCTTCACCACTTTGCCTTTCTTCTTTATCCCAAAGTTTCTCTCTTGTGCTCCCTCAAGGCTCTTCCAGCAAATATTGCTTTGGGTTCCAGCTGCTCCAGCCAACTGAAGTTGCATTCCCTTGTAGAGTCCTTGATCCCCCAGGCTTGTGTTGTATCTGTAAGAAAAGCAGGATTAGGGGCTGGAAATAACCTCCACAGCAGGCACAGAAACTCCGGCTGCTGTGAATTCCCCCTCTTCATGGAAGGACTGGAACAAAGGGGGTGCAGGGTACTGGTCACACCTCAATTTGTTACCAGGCAGGAGCAGCTCCACAGTCCTGAATGATGCACATTGCCCCACTCTGTAGTCAGGCCAGCTCTTCAGATTTTGGTTTAAAATTCAAAGGAAATTCTGTGTCTGACCTTCCTTGGCTTGCAAGAGATGAGTGGACATCAAAGGAGTCCCCAGTGATCTCCACAAAAGCCAAGAAATGTGTGGTGGAGAACAAAACCCCATCACCTCCCCCAGAGCCAGAGCAGGGAGAGGGGAAGGAGCCTTGGGGATGAGGTGAATGCATCCGGGCTATGCCAGGGCACAGGAAAATTGCTTTTAGGGTGGAGGATCTCAGCTACAGCCAGTGCACGACACAGGGGACATCCCACAGTCCCTTGTGTGTGGAAGGGTCACTGAAATCCCTGAAAGAATTTGTTTGGATTCTTGGTGAAATGCAGCTGATGTTCAGCTGAAGGACTGAGCCACACCAATGCTGTCCCTTCCCCAGAGTCCTGCCAGGGCTGGGTTTCCTTTGTGGAGCACATCCAGCTCCTGCCCAGCTCCTCAGAGGATGA